TTTAAGGAGTCGCCACCTAGTATTATGGTTACTAGGAACCCTAACTGGTCAATAGAGATTTTATGGTCCGAGACTTGTTACGTAAAAGAGAAGATATTATCACCCCTTAAACATCCTGCCTAAGGCAAGCTGCATTGCTGACTTTGTCAATAATTGCTAATGTTTTGTTGGCTTATGCTACGATGGTTTTGCGTGTAATATTCCTGACTCTGGCGTCAGTGAATATTTAACTACAGATATTTCCAACTCTGGCGTGGGTAAATATCACGTAGCTATAAAAACAAAATAATTTTAAATCAGTTATTTTTTATTCCTGACTCTGACGTTAGTGAATAAACAAATTAAATAAATTTATTTTTGCACATCACACACAAAAATAAAATAAATTTAAATCAATATTTTTTATTCCCGACTCTGGCGTCAGTGAACAAATAAATAAAAATAAATTTATTTTTTATTCATGCACATATTTTTTATTTTTTATTTTTTACTTTTAATATTTCTATTTCCGGGCTGGGTTGGGCCCAGCCCAGCATGTATCTTATTTTTTGGCTGGGCCCAGCTTAGCCCATATGGCTGGGCTTAGCCCAGCTAGCCTGCCCCGGCCACTGGCCCAAGCCAGTGGCCTGGCTGGGCTTCAGCCAGCAGGAGGCACGCGTGGAGTGTCCACGCGTGCATGCACTGGGCGAAGGTAATTAATTACCTTCGCCAGTGCACTGCTCCTCATTTTAGTGAATTAAAGAAAACGAAAGGAGCAAGAATAGCTTACCTGGGCGCAGGGAAGCAGAGACGCGGCGTTGGAGGACTTCGGGTCGTGCTTCCTTCCTCCGATTTTGTTCCCTTCGTCTTCTGTTTCCAATCCTCTTCTCTCATGCTCTTTCTCTCTCTCTCTCTCTCTCTTGGTTCTCCACTCGTGGCCTCCTCTGTTTCTTTGGTGCTGAAGCTTGATGAAGAAGACGATGGCGAAGGCGTCCTCTGGTCAATGCTTTTGTTTTTATTCTTTGGTTTTCGGGTCCTTATTCTCTGGTTTTTCTCTTCTTTCCTGGCCTCCCTTGTTTCGGTTCGCGCTCTACCTCTCAGTTTTCTATGGTTCTCACTGCCTGGGTTTCTTCTTTATTCGATGTTCTTGTGCTTGTGTTTCTCCCTCTCAGTTCTGCCCTTTTTTAACTCTAACGATGAAGGTGAAGCTGGGGTCTCCTCGTTGTTGTTTTTTTCTCTCCTGTTTGCTCTCTTTTTTATGCCCCTTTTATTTTCTTCTCTGTTTTCGTCTTTCTTTCTCCTCGTTTTTAGCTTTTTCTCCCTCCCCTTGGTGTATGCTCTGCTCTGCCTTTTATAGAGCCGGAGAGCATGCAAAAACCAGTTCCCCTCTTAATCAATCCATGAGCGGGATCGTGGGCAAGAGATCGTGATGTCGTGGCCGTGATTTGCTGGAATGATCTCCGGATTTTCTCCCCTGTTGAATCGGTCTTCAGCTAACAAATGATGAACAGTATGACCCGAAACGACGTCATTTGGCATGACAAATGACAGATTGTAGTTTGGTCCCTGGTGTTTTGAAATGTATTAATTGGGTCCCTTAATCAAATAAATTTTTAATTTTACCCTTGGATTACTTTCAATTAAGTCCCTGAATTTATTTAATTAATTAAATCAAAGTTTAATTAAGTCCTCAAACTTCTTAATTTCCTAATTAAGCCCCTTTATTTAATTAATTAAACTAGTCAAGAGTTTAATTAATTCTTTAAACTTCTAATCATGTTGCCCTTAACCCAAATTTTAATTCACTCTTCATTTATTTTATTTTTACTTGTTTTTCATCAATTTTTATAGATAACAAAAATCAAAAAATTAGGTTATGACACTTCTCATTCCCGAATCAATATTCGTTGGGTGGGGGTCTTCCGTTTTCAATAGTGCTGATGCCTAGGTACAAGTTATCTTTATGCCACACTCCTATCAAACCTAATTTACTTGGCTTTCTGGGAATTGGTGTCTTTGTGTGTGGGTTGCGTAACCATGTGATCACGAGGTTCGTATCACTTCTTCCTTTTATTCTATTCCTACATATGCATGAGATGTGGTCACGTACATTAAGTGGTAGACTTTTTATTTTCTTCCTACAATATGCATGAGATGTGGTCACGTACATTAAGTGGTAGACTTTGTAGGGTATCCTCATCATTTTCAGAAAATATGGCCAAAGAAGATAATCAATCACTTCATAATGAGAATAATGAGAATAACCGTGTTAGAACACTTAGAGACCACATGAATCCCACAAGAACAAGTGCACCATCATGCATAGGTTTTTCTCCTAATGTATCTCATTTTAATTTTAAGCCAGATATTATTCAACTTTTACCTTCTTTTCATGGCTTAGATTTAGAGAATCCATACTTGCATTTAAGGGAATTTGAAGAGGTCTGTAACACCTATAATGACTCAAATTGTAGCATGAACACCATCAGAGTAAAGCTTTTCCCTTTTCCATTAAAAGATAAAGCTAAAACTTGGCTACAAAATTTGAGACCAGGATCTATTCGTGCTTGGGATGAAATCCAACTATAGTTTTTATAGAAGTTTTTCTCATCTCATAAAACAAACTCTTCCAAAAGATAAATCTCCACTTTCACTCAAAAACCAGAAGAAACATTTTACCAATGTTGGGATAGGTATCAAGACGTACTTAATACTTGCCCTCATCATGGTTTTGAAACATGGAGATTGATTTCATATTTTTATAAAGGGTAACACCTAGAGATAGGCAAATGGTTAAATTGATGTGCAATGGAACATTTGACGACAAAGACCCTGATGAAGCAACGAAATACTTAGACTTGTTAGCTGAAAATGCTCAAAATTAGGACATTGCGGGCACTTATGAGGCACCGAGTAAAACTCAACCTCATACATCTTGTGGAGGTATGTACAACCTTAGGGAAGATCATGACCTACAAGCCAATTTTGCATCTTTAGCTAGAAAAATCGAGGCACTAGAATTGAAAAAGAGTGGTCAATTAAAATCTGTTGAAAACATTGTGTGTTAAATATGTGAAACATATGAACAATCAACCGATAACTATTCAACCTTGCCTTCTTTTAAGGAATGTTTTCATGAACAAGTCCATGCTTTAAACAGTTTTCAAAGGGCTAACCACAACCCATACTCGCAAACATACAGCCCTGATTGGAGAAATCACCCAAATTTCAATTGGAAGAGTGATAATAATAATGTATAAATTTCACAACCACCATTTCAAGCACACCATAATTTTTAAAATTCTCATGGATATGCACCTCTTTATGCTCCACGTCCTAGAAGAAATCTTGAGGAAACATTGCATGCATTTATTGAAAAGCAAGAGACAATCAATACTCAACTTGCTCAAAACATGATAGATTTTAAAGATACTCTTGCAAAATTAACATCTGCTCTTAGTTTTCAAGAGAAAGGTAAGTTTCCATCTCAACCACATTAAAATCCCAAGGGGCAATATAATACAAATGCAAGTAGTTCTAGAAGCCAACACATGGATCAAGTCAAATCAGTCACTACTC